TCAATTATTAGGTACACAGTTAACTTGAATAAGTTAACATTTGGTTCAATGAAATGGTGATATCAATGTTATAACGCTGCTACGTATAGCTATTGAGTCCTAGCGGCGTCCAATTCAAATATCCCAATACGACCCAAAATGCTATTTCTAAATCTCCTATATATCAGAACGCAACACAGTGAAATGGAGTTGTTTATTGGGTCGAGAACAGAAGAGAGGTAGGCAGGAAGAACGGAATCAGAATCAGAATCATGAAGGCTTACAGATAGTGCGTATTTATACATTAAGGTCGAATAGGAAAGAGCATCAAAGTCTGTGACATTGGCATTTTAGGACGACCAATAGGAAAGAACACTTGAAATGACATTGACAGTCCGGACAACCAATAAGAGACAACATTGAAGTATTTGACTTTGACAGTTAAAACGACCATAACTTTGGCCAATAGAAATCGACCAATGCGATTACACTTCTAAAAATAGTATTCTTAGGATATTTGGTGAATATCCTAACAATCAACAAACAAAGAATAAAAATATAGGTCAAATAGAATGATAGATACTCGGCACAACTGAACTCCGTTGGTCAAGGCTTCTCACTAAAACTCCGAGAATCTCCTCACTAAGCTATACACTAGCGCTCACTGGGTGAGCTTGCACAAAACCGTTGGAGGAAAGATGAACTGCCGACGCTTGAACCGGCCTGGAAGTTAGAAAACTCTGATTCCAGGTCAATAGTCTATATAAGCTCCAGGGTCATATCCCGAGGGAACAAAAGGCGTATGGATCTATTGTTAGTCACTGTCTACCATGAAACTACATCGCTTGACATTACTTCACTACCTTGTAGATTAAACCTATAGGTCAAAGGCTCGCAAAGTGGCTCCCCAAGAAGATCGACCACCTGCTTCATTCTGAGCACCCGGACAAGATTCTGGTCCACATACAAGTTCAATGCTTTGTATGATGAATATATATTCTGGTGCCCCTGTGTACCAATGTTTACATGAGTAAATCAATAAATAAAATTAGTCTACAAGGTTATTTTCTCAGAGGCACAGACTAAAGGTACTTGTTTAGTTCATCCATTGATAATTAAAACACCAAATAACTTTGAAACTTATCATCTACTAGTAAAAACAAATATCAATCAACACCAAAATCAGGATTTTCAATATAAATGTCAAGACAGTTCTTCTGTATGGAGTGGAAACTTGAAGAACTACAAAAGCCATCATCCATAAGATACAAGTATTCCTCAATAGTTGTCTACGCAAAATACTTTGGATTCAATGGCCAGACACTATCAGCAACTACTTACTATGGGAGAGAACAAACCAGATTCCAGTGGAGGAGGAAATCAGGAAGAAGAGGTGGAAGTGGATAGGACACGTTACGAAAAGCACCGAACTGCGTCACAAGACAAGCCCTCTCACATGGAACCCTCAAGGCAAAAGGAAAAGAGGAAGGCCAAGGAACACATCGCGCCAAGAAATAGAGAAAAACATGAGAGGAATGAACAAAAACTGAAAAGAACTAGAAAAGGAAGCCCAGGACAGAGTTAGCTGGATAAAACTGGTAGGCGGCCTATGCTCCATTGGGGGTAACAGGCGTAAGTAATCTACTAGTAAAAAAAATATTAATTTTTAACAAACACTTATTAAAATCAATCAATCATACCCAATTTTAGTATATAATTTTCCATGTGCATGAATAAATGCCAAACCGAATTGTTTACTTAACTAAAAATATAAAAACAAAGAAAAAAGTAAGACGAATTAGTTTACTCAAGTTTTACTGTATTTAGGATGTCGTTAACAGTGGAATGCAGAATACGCTTTTCATCCTGATAAGGACTCGTTAGCTGGATGCGTAACTGCCATATTCCAGTGGTGTAGGAGTAGGTTGGAAGAAAGGGCTAGGGGCAGCCAGACCAAAACATGGCAGAAATCCATGAAGTCACTGACAAGTAGACTGAGTCATGTTGGTAGTTGTAGACTACCTGGTTGGGGTCCGCGAGACGAAAATCACCAACGGTTAGAGACCTTGAACGACATGGCTCAAAATCGTTTGCAATGAGGCAAGTGCATTCATTCTTTGTGCTCTCTCAAATCTTAATCTTCTGGGTTCGTCAGCACCTCTACCTTTGTCTTTCTAACCTTATCTCACTGAATCATACTTCTTGAATCATATCTTCAAACACTAGTCTTCTTCATTACCATTAATACCTCTACTATCTTTATCACTATTGGATTTGAACTGACAATTCTGTCTCTCTGTGCTAATGTGGTATGGCAATATGAACATATGCACATACGTACGAAGTTCTACATTGCAACTGACTGACTGATATTCCAGTGTTAAGGTGAATATTGAAACTTGAACCTAGTGCGAATCGCTTTTAACACCTGTAATGCCGTTCTCATCATAAACTAATATTAATTTTAAAAAAAAACACTGTTGAAAATCAAAAATAATTTGCTAGTATCCGCATGATTAGTTCAAAGTTTCAAATGAAAAAAAAGTGTAATCAATGAATTCAATTGTGAAACCAGTGAATTTCAGTTAAGACGGTTTTTTTTAAAATATTTTACTCATTACAAGACTTCTAGAACTTAAGCTTAATGAGATGTACAGTTGATGTACAGTTTGGATGAATTCAACAGAAAAACAGGATAAAACATGTATGAAACATTTACTGATTCTTTCACTGGATCTTCAGTGATGATGCCAGACTGTGATGAGCATTACTTTCGGCATTATTGGGTTCATCACTAAGTATGCTTGAGGCTATTACGAGTTTACCTTAGTCGATAAACGCGAACGAGACTTTTACCAGCCTCCAGGTAGGCTACCTTCAATCCCCAAAATAGAGTAAGAAGGCTTTGTAAGCATAGAAAGTATATTCTACAAACACCCAGCAATCACACAATACAATCAAGCATACAACTCTTGTTTATTTATACATCATAGAAATGTCCTTGGGACAGTTATGAAAATAGCACACTAAAATACACAGCACCCAATCACAGCCATGGACTTTCCTGGTGAGAAATGAAATCTCAAGATCAACTGATCAACCCATGCTGGCAAACGTGAAATCCAAAATAAGGCATTTATCAAGCGAGTTATGGGGATCTAACATCCCCAACAGGCATAAAGTCATTCATGGTTGTCAGTACAGGGTTGTAGAAACTGTTGGATTTCATTGAAATTACAAAATGATCAATGTTAAACCACTATCGGACACCTAGAAGCACTAGACAGTTGTTTCGTCCTAAGATGAGTGAGATTCGGCAATGTGCATCCACAACCCTGCAAGCAGGAATCGAACCAAAGACCTTCAACCTCAAGCGCAAACAAACGCAAATTGAATTTTCAGACATACACTGTAGTATTTAAATATTTGAATAGAAATCCATAATTATATAACACTAAGAGTACGAGAATGAATGAAATTTAAACGAATGGATATTTAATTTTGTTTACGTCAATCTAACTACGCTGGCAGAATGTGAAAACATTGATGGATTTATATTCATCGTACGTTCTACTTTAATAATGATTGAATAACTGACTGACTCGTGACCGGATGTCACTTACCAGTTGCCCGTATCGTGGAGGGGTATTTCTTGAGAAAACTCAAAAGGAAATTTGATTAGCGTTGGGACTTAGCGACTTGGGAGCGTGACCGCAGAGATCAAATACCAACTACCTGAAGCCGGTCACGCACGGTCCTTTTATGAGAGGTTTTAAAAGTGTTATAGCTCCGTTCTTTTTTTTGAAAGGCCTGACCGCCGGAGACGTAAATCCGTACGGTAATGTGAGGTTGTACATTTTTAGGGCCGACCTCTTTTAACCCCCTTTCTTCCGTGTAAGAAGGCAGCATCACTGCAGATGCTGGTTGTCCGAGGGAAACACCTTACTGCAGTCACACCTCTCTACAGTCTGCAGTACGACTTCGCCCTGAGACCGTGACTTGCTGATTTCAGTCCATGTTCTGTTCTGATTTCGACCAGATTGATCTCTCGTGCTGTTACGGGTATGAGGGCGGTTGTCACTTCCCGGCTGCCCACACCGTGGAAGGGTGTTTCTTGAGGAACCTGAAAAGGAAGGTGGATTAGAGTTGGTCTTTGAGACCTGAGAGCGTGACCACAGAGTCCAAGGGACAACTGCTTGAGGCCGGTTACGCACGGCCTTCTAATGACAGGTTTTTTGAGTATTAGTTCCGCTCTTAAAAGCCCTTAGTGGGCACCCTTACCCAAGGAGACGGAAATCTGTGAGGTAGGGTGAGGTGTGACATTTTTAGGGTCGACCTTTTCTAACCCTTCCTTCCTTGTGAGAAGGCAGCATCTCTGCAGATGCTGGTTGTCCGAGGGAAACACCTTACTGCTGTCACACCCCTCCATCACAGTCAGTCAACAGTACGACATCGCCCTCAGACCTTGGGTAGCTGCTTCTAGTCTCATCGTTCTCCAATCGACAAGCCTGGCATGGTAGTGTGGTGCTGTGGTGCGAACTACTTATAAGTAGTATATAGCGTGAGTGTCAACGTAAAGTCTGGTAGCATAATATGGGTGGAAGATCAAGAAAGGAAGAGTCAGAAAACAATGGAATTTGTATGAAACGCATGAAGAGTGACAATGGATTGATGTTTGGCAACAGGAACAGTCCAGTTCCATAGGATGAACTGATCTTTTGCAAATGAACGATTTACGATATGGTTTTCCGATTTTACTGACTAACTCTGTAATTTTCGTTAAATACAATTCGGTTGCCCCCCCACCTGTGTTCTCATTCACTACAGTAGAACCTGCAGGAACATTTGTTCCAGCCAATATAGCTCGGTTGGGTCATCACCATAGACAAGCCCAACCAACACCACGTCAAGGTAGCAGCAGCTACGGTCGGGCCAATATAGCTAGGTTATTACATCAAAATATAAATCGAACAAAATAAAAGAATATCAAGAATATCAACATAGAAAAAGATTGTTTTTACTTCAATTAAAGAAATATTAGCATATTCTTCCGCTTCCGCTTGAGCTTCTTCATCATCTTCATCTTCATTGTCAATTTCATAGTCAACAACAGTGGATGAATTCAATTTTGGCATTGATTTTCCTTGAATGTAATTATTATTATTCTGAATAGTATGACTATGATTATTAGTATTATCATTTATCAGCAATTTCGTATTTGAATGAATCAACAAACGTCGACCACCTTGAATGACAGTCGTTTGACCATCCATTGGATGAATCCATATTTCAACACGTTGAAATCTTGGATTATATGAATTAAATCCGGAACAATGCGATTGATGAACTGATTCAATTTTTGGTTTTTGAAACTGATAGCAAAAAAAAATTATTTTTTGTTTTGAAAACAAAAAAAGTATTGAAAATATTGAAAATATGTTAATACACACAGTTAGTTAGTTAGTTAGTTAGTTATCTCAATAAACATGACATCATCAATATGTATAAGTGAGTTGGAATGACAGACAGACAGACAGATACAATGTAGAACTTCGTACATAAGTAGATCAGTTCAGCTTGCTATAACACATAAGCACAGAGACGTAACTGTCAGTTCAAATCCAACAGTGATAGCAATAGTAGAAGTATTAGCAGTAATGGAGAAGACTAAAGAGCGAAGATATGATTCGAGAAGTATAATTCAGTAAGATAAATTTAGAAGGAGAGTTGATGCACCTGCGCCATTGCAAACGATTCTGAGCCATGTCATTCAAGGTCTCTAACCATCGGTGACTGTCGTCTCGCGGACCCCAACCAGATAGCCTACATCTACCAACATGACTCAGTCCACTTGTCAGTGACTTCATGGATTTCTGCCATGTTTTGGTTTGGCCGCCCCTAGCTTTCTTCCAATCTACTCCTACACTGCAAAACATAGCTCGTCGAGGCAGTCGGTGGTTAGGCATACGTAACACATGTCCCAACCACCTCAATTGATGAAGTTTCACTACTTCATCTATTGATTTGCCATCCCTAGACTTAGAATGTAATGAATAAAGTTCATCATAAATGACAGAAAAAAAATGATCTTTCTACAACTTGACAGCAATAACAACATAGAAGCTAGGATAGGATTAACTTGACAAAAACGCTAAACATTACTACTAATTCCTACTATTTGGTAATCTTATTGTTATGATTATTTTGTTTTGAATACTTCGACCCACAACTTGTAATGATACGAAGGAAGAGAGGTTGAACAAATCTATTGTTTTGGTAGATTCTACAATTAGCTATATCACTGAATAGCTCTGTTTATTATCTTAGACAGACAGATACAATACAGAACTTCGTACGTACTTACATCAGTTCAGGTTGCCATACCTCATCAGCACAGAGATAAGAATCCTCAGTTCAAATCCCATAGTGGTACAGATTAGTAGAAGTATTAGCCATAATGGAAAAGATTAGGGTTCGAAGATATTATTCAAGAAGTATCATTTAGTAAGATAACTTTAGAAGGAGAAAGATAGAGGTGATGAGGAATTCAGAAGATTAGAATTCGAGAGAACACAACGAGTGGATGCACCTGCACCATTGCAAAACGATTCTGAGCCATGTCGTTTATTATCTTACATCATAGACTGATCTTGAAAACAAGAAAGCATTAAACAGTTGGCTAGTCATAATACGAAAATCCTCGGTGCATCTATCTACAACTCGGTTAGGAATCGACCCAAGGAGCTTCAGGTCACATGGCGAGCATATGACGTATAGGCCAGTGAGCCACATTCTAATAGTTTAATTTAAATAAATGGCAATACTTCGCAATCATTTTCCAATGCCATCGGTAAATAACTGATAAAACTCCATCGGTCAAAGCTTTATGACAGAAACCCGTGGATTTTCTTTCGGAAACTAGTGTAACGTCTTGTATTAAGTGATATTATTTCACTTATTTATCAAGTACAGATAGATTTGAGCCATACTGCTGCTTTATGGGTGTATGAAGTCTAACGATAATTACCTAGTTGATCCAAATGAAGTCAACAGTGACAAAGCGAGAACCTGATATCTGCAAGCTGAAAGCTGAGTGATTTGACCACTAATATTTGACCACTTGTATACTGCAAACACTGTGCAATGCTGAACTAATCCCCAAAACAAATAATCAAAATGTTAGCATGTTTATCATTTCTAAACAAGAATATTATTGAACCTTCCCCGGTTATCTACCGGCGCTGATTGCCTAAGAATGTACCAATCAGCGTGCTCCAACATGATCCACTATGTTCTGCTAACACCAACGATTATTGTATTGACAATTTCCAAAAGTATGAAGCAATTGTAATTACCAAGACTATATCATGTTATTATTTATAAACCACTCAATATATTACTGAAATCATGAACCAACCATTGTTAGACCACAATTAGAAACCTGGAAGCAGAGGTTAGGCGTTCGCATGCGAGACCAAAGGTCCTAGGTTTGAATTGTGCGAGTAGCAAGAGTCGTGAATGCGCATTGCTACTGATGAGTCCCATACCATGACGAAACGGCCGTCTTTCAGTGCTTCTAGGTTTCTAATGATGGTCTAACAATGATTAGTTCATGATTTGAGAGATAA